GGATAAACAGTTTCTACATACATTATAATATGCAAATGGAATTTATTCTAAATAAAAACAATATATATTTATTCTTTGAGTTTCTAAGATTTCGGCTTATATTGGAATCAAACTAATCAAATTCTAAGAATAAATGTCAAAAAGATAAAACATGGTTTCCTTTTATGCTTTTGATTGAATCTTTTGTGTTGGAGGGAATTGGTACTTTTTACTGGAGGATAGGAGGAAAGGATAAAAGTGTAATTTCAAAGAGATAAGAACAAATTGCAGCCTTTACAAAAACATATTATACTAAGCATAATTGATATAATCTATAATTTTTAGCACTTATCATGTACTCAAAACTGACGGTTGTACTCTCAGATGTGTAAGATGTCATTGTCCTCAGTTCTGTGTGACTTGGAGAGGCATTGCCAGCTACACAGGTGCAGGCATTTGGGCGTCAGTGATTCCGCATCCTTGCAGGCCCTACAAGGCCAGATGAATTTTCCTTGCCCTTAGAATGACTCTGAGTCAAAAGTCAGCACAGCCCTAGTGATGCTGCATCCATGGGAAGAAAGATAATGTACAGATACCAATAAATAATGATTTTTGTCACGTTCCGTAGTATATTCTTCGTGTCTAGAACAGGAACAGCAGAGGAGATTTCACACTGTTCTCCCAGAGCATGAAGTGAAATCGTTTCTTTTCTTTAGCTATGCTAATCTCATGCTGCCTGTCAATTAACTTGAGAAAATGATTCTATCAAAGTAACCACATAAACAAACAAAAACTTATTCCCTTTCTGCTTGCTGCTCTTTTTGGACTTGGGGAGGGAGAACAATTTCTAAATGTCTACTCTTCTGTGTTAACCATGCTAGTTGTTTTCCTTTTCTATCAATAATTATTAAAAGGGTAATACATATTTAATATTTCTAATTTGGAAATTAGAAATTATTTAATAATTTAATATTTAATCATTATGTATTACCCTACACAACCCATTTTAATGTAAAATTTGCACCATTTAGTTACTAGCATTTTTCTTTAAAGTTTAATTTTTTTCTTTAAAGTTACTAATTACCTCCAGTTTAAGGACTCCAATGGACACGTTTTGTTTATCTTGCTTTTACTCTCAAGTGTTTTACATTTCATCACACTCTGTTTCTTGAAAAGTTCTCTCCCTCTGGCTTTCTATTCAATACATTCTGATAGTTCACCTGTTACCTCTTAGATACTACATTTGTGTGTGTGTGTGTGTGTGTGTTCTTTCTCCTTCTGTAATATAAACAGTGATATTGCCTAGGTTTTGTTATTATATCTATCTCTCACTTTACAAATAATCATTAGACAAATTACAGAATTCATGCAATATTTAATTTTAACTATTAAATAAAATAGTTAAAAAGAAAAACTCAGTTCTGAAAATGAGAGAAGTAAAGTTAGTGGATAAAATGGAGATATGGGATGTATGTAAAAGTATATCTGCCCTTCTAGCTCTATAACCTTGAACAAGTTATTTCACATCTCTGTGCCTTAGTTCCTCATCTGTAAAATGGTAGTAATCATAATGATTTTCTTTTTGGGTTGTTGGGAAGATTCAATAAGTATAAAATGACTTAATATGTGTAAAGTTTCTGACACATGGGAAGCCTTCCTTACATGTAATCTGTTATTAATAACAGATATACCTATTTATAACTAAAAATTCTATGACAAAAAATTTTTAAACTAATAAATTTTTACACAAATTTAAATAATTGCATGCACATTTTACATATTTATAGAATATGAATGCCTTAACTGCAATGATTTTTATGGTTATTTTATTTGAATTTCCAGCAACTACTTCAATTTCTGGACTGGAGAAGAAATTTACAACTATTTGGGGAATGAAAGCATTAATGAGAGTGTTATGATGATCACACTAATTAGATTAGGTCAAAATTAGAGTGGGGCAACCCAAACTCTATCCCTTTCTCCAGTTTTAAATATTAGTTAAAGGTTTTCAGTGTTTAACTCCTATTTCCCATCCATCTCTCGCCAACATTCAGATCTCCCCATTGCCATTGGTCTAAAGGTCAGCCCCCAGTTTCATATGGCATCCACTGGCAGTTGATAGAAATGAAGGCACTACAGACCCAGGGTCATATACAGAAATCCAAGGAAAGGCTATTGGAATGGTGTATGATCCTTTTCAGTATTTTTTTCATCACATTTCTCTCGTTCCTGATGCACACCTGTACACACAGATAAACACACGTTCACTATTTGAAGGCTCCCTTTGTGCTGCTTTCCCCGATACCAAAATTGCTAGCAATGGCTACGGATTTGATTACTTCTCTCTTTTGTCAATGAGTTTCTTGCTATTATGTAAACATATTCTTCTTCTTATTCTTTAGTGAGAACAGAATGATACAAAATTGACTTAATCTGCAGCACAAAGTTTACATTTTGTTGTGAAAAAGAACTTGTTGACAGGATTGCTAAAAACCAAAGTGCTGGACAGCAATAGTAATTTCACTGACTTTGAAAAATATCATCTCTTTGAAAGAGATTGTTTTCCATTTTGTCTCAAAAGAGAATGAGATTCAAATATTGTTTTGTAGCCCCATGCTTCTCTGAAACATATTTAAATGTCTTTAGACATTTTCTTTTAACATTGTAGATACTCTTAAGCCTAATTGTCAAAATTGATCATAATTATAAAGTTAGGATTTTTTTCCTAAAAATATGTAATAAAAAATCGCAACTAATATAAAACCTATTATCTAATTTTCAAATTATTTATGCACTGAATTTTTGTGTAATATATTTCATATCACATTTGCTATCAGCAATATACATACCATTTCAATATGGCATTTATAAAGATCTCATCATGAGGCCATTGTAAGTAAAATTATTTCTTCACGTAAAATAATTATGTGAAAATATTAGAGAATTTTTTCTTTTTTTTTTTTTTTTTTTGATGCAGAGTCTCATTCTGTCATCCAGGCTGCAGTGCAGTGGTGTAATCTTGGCTGACTGCAACCTCCGCCTCCGGGGTTCCAGTGATTCTCCTGCCTCAGCCTCCCTAGTAGCTGGGATTAGAGGCACGTGCCACCATGCCTGGTCAATTTTTTTTAGTTTTAGTAGAGATGGGGTTTCACCATGTTGGCCAGGCTGGTCTTTAATGCCTGACCTTAGGTGATTTCCCCCGCCTCAGCCTCCCAAAGTGCTGGGATTACAGACATGAGCCACTGTGCCTGGCCGTTATTTACTTTTGAGAGACAGTAATCCAAGAAATTATTTTCACTAACTGTGATGTTCCCAGTATTGTCCTGGTTATTACATGGCAGATACTAAATATCTGTAATGCAATCTTGCTTCAGTAAGCTTATGATTTAGCTGTGGAGAGGCAAACAATACTGTAAAATAAAAAGTGCAAATATATATCACATTATATACCAGGGGCCCTAAACAAAGAGATGAATGAATATCAGAACAGTAAGAAAACACTATGAGAAGAATACTAATATGATCTTAGTGTTATTAAGAAGTCAGAATTAAGAAAATGCATTTATTTTTAGTTTTTTGAGATGCTTCATACTGTTCTTCATAGTGTTTGTACTAATTTACGTTCCCACCAGCAGTGTACAGCCAATCCCACTGCTGGATATATAGGCAAAAGATAGGAAATTAGAATATCAAAGAGATATTTTCACTCTTATGTTTATCACAGCACTAGTCACAATAGTCAAGGTATGGAATCAACCTAAGTGTTCATCAGCAGATAAATGGATAAGGAAAATGTGGCTCATATACACAATGAAATATTAGTCAGTCATAAAAATGAATGAAATCCTGATGTTTGCAACAACATGCTGGAACTGGTGGATATTATGTTAAGTGAAATAAACCAGGCATAGAAAGACAAATATCACATGTTCTCACTCATATATGGAAGCTGAAAAAAATATTTGAACTCATGGCTTTAAAGTGATAGTTACCAGAGGTTGGGAAAGAGTGGCGGGGGTGATGGCGGGAGAATAAAGATGGGTTGGTTAGTTGGGTACAAAATACAGTTAGAAGGAACTGACCTTCTAATATGATCTAATATTCAGTAACAAAACAGGGCAATTGTAGTTAACAATAATTTATTGTATATTTCAAAATAATTAAAAGCTGGGTTTGGAAAGTCCCTAACCTAAAGAAATCATAAATGTTTGAGGTGATAGATATCCCAATTACCCTGATTTTAATCATTACATGTTGTATGCCTGTGTCAAAATACCACATGTAACCCATAAATATGTGCAGCCATTGTGTATTTGTAACAACTACAAAATGTTTAAAAATAATATAAATGTAAATATATATGTTTGAATGTCATCAATGCAAATCCAAATCTCTAAAACATATTTCAGATTTAAAATGTGGTATCATCTCTTGGAACCATATATATACACATATATTATATACATATTTAATATATAATATATGTTTAAACACATATATTTCTATATGTATTTCTATATACTTATTTCTCTATATATATATGTTTAAGTACAAAATCCAGCACAATCTGATCCTTTGCCTTCAGCAATTGATTTCACCTCCTTATATCTCATTTTCTGCACTTGTAAAACTATCTAGAGAGTTTTATAGAGACTTATCTAGAGACTTATAAAGAGATCTAGAGTAAGAATAAAAACTAAAACAATACATTTGAGCTTTGAAATAAGTTTCCAGCTGGAACTATCACTTTTTTTATGTCTGTCATAGCATCTATACCTTTCTCATAAACAAACCACACAGAAATATGTTGTTATCAGATGTAATAGAGATAAAAGTTTTCTGTCCCATCATGGAAATAGCACATTTCATTTTTCTTGCACAAGTCGTAAATTGTGCAACACTAGAAAAGTAAAGATTATGTACATAGAATGTTATTCATAAAATAGCCTCTAAACATGAATTAAATAAACTATTTCTTTTCAATAATATTGCTTTGAAAATAACTAGTTCTTTTGTTACAGGAGATAAGTGCAAGACTACTGAATACAGCAAGATGAAAAATATGCTATTAGATTTACAAAACCAAAAATATATTATGCAAGAAAATGAAAATCCTAATGACGACGACATATCTCGGAAGAAGCTATTGGTGGATCAAATGTTTAAATATTTTGATGCAGACAGTAATGGACTTGTAGATATTAATGAACTAACTCAGGTATGATTAGTGACTATATTCACAAACTTACTGAAACATAGCATGCACAGTATATTTACTTTTTCTGAATTTACTCTATAATGAAAAAAATGTATAGTTGATCCATATTATTGAAAAGTATGTGAATAACAACATTTTATAACAAATTTGACTACATCATCAGCAATATTAATTTCAAGTAACATTATATGGTGTTTCACAGTTTAAAAAGAGATATCTACTTCTGGTAGATATATATACCTCAAATACCTAAAGGAATTACAAGTTCTTTATCTTGTAGAATTTATATTCTCAGATTATATATTCCTAGTATATTCTGGAGCTCACACACTCTTTAACTTTCTATAAGTCAATAAAAGCTGATTTATCCAATACTCATGGGCACTAATGAACAATAATTGAGCACATTTATAACAAAGTGTATATAAATAGTTTAAGATAGTGTTGTGTCACTGATGTGTTCCAGTATTTCTTCAATAATTAAGGACCAATTACAGCATATTCGATTTGGTTTAGTAGTAGAAATATAAAATAAGAGACATGGGATTTCTTCAAAACTCTGCACTGATTTTAGGGAATAATGAAGAGAAGAAGCCCAATTAGGCAATAGAACAATGATGACAGCACTGATGGATTTTGCTGACTTCTTGATGATCCCTATGATATATCTTGAGGTAGATTTTGCTCCTACCCTTAACAGTGGGATATAGGTTTGATATTTTTATAATATGGTATGCATTTTTTTCTGGTTAATTTTACCACTTATTTAAAAAATCTGGCGTTGTCGAGTATTGGTTTTCTTATTTATTTATTTATTATTATTATTATACTTGAAGTTCTAGGATACATGTGCATAACGTGCAGGTTTGTTACATATGTATACTTGTGCCATGTTGGTGTGCTGCACCCATCAACTCGTCATTTACATCACATATAACTCCCAATGCAATCCCTCCCCCTCCCCCCTCCCCATGATAGGCCCCGGTGTGTGATGTTCCCCTTCCCGAGTCCAAGTGATCTCATTGTTCAGTTCCCACCTATGAGTGAGAACATGCGGTGTTTGGTTTTCTGTTCTTGTGATAGTTTGCTAAGAATGATGGTTTCCAGCTGCATCCATGTCCCTACAAAGGTCACAAACTCATCCTTTTTTATGGCTGCATAAAGACACATGCACATGTATGTTTATTGCGGCACTATTCACAATAGCAAAGACTTGGAATCAACCCAAATGTCCATCAGTGACAGACTGGATTAAGAAAATGTGGCACATATACACCATGGAATACTATGAAGCCATAAGAAAGAGTATTGGTTTTCTTAAACAAGTATTTCTAAGCTTTGCAATAGTGTAACTTACTTTAAAAACTTTATCTCGAAGTAACATTGTGAGCAAATTGATGATAGGTATCATCATTCAAACTAATTAAAATTCATGTCATTTTTATTATTTTTTCTAATGCAGCCTCACATTTATTTTGTAGTTACTAAGTCATAGGCATTGGAATTTAAGGAATTCAGAGTAAAATTGGAAGATATTTTGATTAAGATATCTATGCTGTCATACACCTCATGATTTATTTTTTAAGAATAAAATTTATACTCTATAGTAGTAAGAATACATTACTAGTTAATTACATTAAAATAAGTGTATAATTTAAGTATGCCACTTTTATCTATGTGTGATTAACATAAATACTGTTATTTTGAGGGTTTTCTTACTTTTTATATTCTTAATTTTTATCAATTTTTTTGTTGTTTTTGTTGTTGTTTTAGTTTTTATTAACCTATCTGCATATAGCCACTGATTGAATTTAGAAAAAGAGATCAGATCAAGTCGATCTGGTCTGGATTTGGACATCTAAATCCAAAGGAAAGACTGCTAGTTACTGGTGAAAGACAGTACACAGCACTTTACTCATACATGTTTCAAGCTTCTGCCATGTTCAAGTTTGTATGTTTCCTAGGGCTCCCATAACAAAATACCACAAACTGTGTGACTAAAACAACAGAAATTTATTCTCTCAATCCTGGAAGCTGGAAGTTCAGAAACGTGGTGTTGACAGGGCCATGCTTCTTCTGAACTTGGAGGTTGGGGTGAGAGTCAGGTCCTTTCTTGCTGCTTTCAGCTTCAGGTGGCCTTAAGCCTTCCCTTGCATTTGTGGTGTTGTAGGAAAATCACTTCAATCTACCTCTATAGTCCTCCTGTTGTCCTCTCTGTGTGTTTATCTTTACCTAGTCTTGCCTCTTCTTATAATAACACCAGTATCATTGGATTAAGGGTTCACCCTAGTCTATTAGGACTTCATCTTAAATTATCTGGTTACATCCGCAATGATTCAATTTCCAAATAAGACCGAATTCTGTGGTACTGGGGCTAAGGACTTTAAAGCCCCTTTGGGAGACACAATTCAACCCCTAATAAACTTTATTAGCTACAATGTTAGGTTTTGTTTCCTCAGCTATCTCTAATTTAACTTGAATTATGTCTGAAAAGTGTCCTTTCAATTCATGTGAAAGCTATGTTGTTGTGAGAGCAGAAAATGTCTTCATAATCATATTTATGTTTTGGCCACCAAGAAATACATGAAAGTAGCAGTCTGGGAAGGTTATGTTTAGTGACTTCCTTCTGCATACATCCCATTCACCTACAGAGGGCCATTCTGATTACTTCTAAGTTTTGGCAATTATGAGTAAGGTTTTTATAAATGTCCATATGCGGATTTTTGTGTAGAGATAAGCTTTTAACTCCTTGGGATAAATACCAAGGAGCATGAGTATTTAGTCATATGGTAAGAGGATGTTTAGTTTGGCAGGAAACCGCCAAAATGTCTTCTGATGTGGAAATACCATTTTGCATTCCCGCCAGCAGAGGATGAGAGTGTTCCTGTTACTCCACATCTTCATCAGCGTTGACATTGTCAGTGTTCTGGATTTCGGCCATTCTATTAGATGTGTAATGCTATCTCGTTGTTTTAATTCTCATTTACCTGGTGAGATGATGTGGAACATCTTTTCACATGCTTATTTTCCATTTATGTATCTTCTTTGATGAGGTATCTGTTAAGGTCATTAACTTATTAATTGATTGGGTTATTATTATTATTATTACACTTTAAAAGTTCTCTGTATATTCCAGATACAGTCCTTTATTAGGAGTGTCTTTGCAAATATTTTCTCCCAGTCTGTAACTTGTCTTCTTGTTCATTTGATGCTGTCTTTTATGGAGCAGAAGTTTATTAAAATTTCAATGAAGTCCAGCTTATCAATTACTTCTTTTATAGATCATGCCCTTGCTATTTTATCTAAAAAGTCATTGCCATACACAAAGTAATCTAGGTTTTCTCTTACTTATATTCTAGGAGTTTTATAGTTTTGCATTTTGAAATTAGGTCCATGATTCATTTTAAGTTATTTTTTGTGAAGGATTCAAGATGTATGTTTATATTTACTTATTTTTATATGTGAATATCCAATTGTCCTGTACCATTTGTCAAAATAACTATCTTTGGTTTTTTTTATTGCCTTTCTGCCTTTGTCAAAGATCGGTTGACTGAGTTTATGCGGGTCTCTTTCTAGGCTTCGTATTTTGTCCTATTCATCTGTTTGTTCATTATTTCACCAATAGCACAGGGTCTTGATTACTGTTGCCTTATAGTGAGTCTTAAAGTCAGGGAGTGTTCATCCTTCAACTATGGTTTTCCTTTAATATTTTTTTGACCATTCTGGGTCTTTTGTGCCTCCATATAAACTGTATAGTTTGTTGAGATCCACAAAATAACTTGCTGGGATTTTAATTGAAGTTGCATTGAATCTGTAGATAAAATTGTGAAGAACTGACATTATGACAATATTTAGCCTACCTATCCATGAACATGGAATTTCTCCCCAATTGTTTAGTTATTTGATTGTATCCATAACAGTTTTTTAGTTTTCCTCATGTAGATTATATACATGTGTTATTAGGTATATTCCTATCCCATTTTGGGGGTGCTAATGTTAATGGTATTATGATTTTAATTTCCAATTCCACTTGTTCATTTATGGTACACAGAAAAGCAATTGACTTTTGTATATTAACATTATATACTCCAAACATGCTGTAATTGCATATTAGTTTCAGAAGGATTTTTGTCAATTATCTTATGTGTTCTACATAGACAATCATGTTATTTGTGAACAAAGCAGTTTTAGTTCTTCCTTTATAATCTGTCTTCCTTTTCTTTTCTTGTCTTATGACATTAGCCAAGATTTTATTACAGTGTTGAAGAGGAGTGGTTAGAGGGGTTACCCTTGCCGTATTCCTGATTTTTGTGAAAAGTTTCAAGTTTCTCACTATTAATTATGATGTTAGCTATAGGTTTTTTTGTAGATATACATATCCTTTATCAAACTGAGGAAATTGCCTTCTACTCCTAGTTTCCTGAGAGTTTTTGTCATGAATTATTGTTGAATTTTGTCAAGTGTTTATTCAGCATTCATTGATATGATCATGGAATTTTTCTACTTTAGGCTGTTTGTGTGATGGTCACACTAATTCATTTTCAAATGCTGAAACAACCTTGCAACTCAGGAGAAATTCCACTTGCTCATGTAAAATTATTTTTATACATTGTTAGATTCAATTTGCTAATATTTAGTGAGAAGTTTTGCATCTATGTTGATGAGAGATGTTGGTCTGAAGTTTACTTCTCTTGTAATCTTCTTGTCTGTTTTTGAAATTAGTGTAATGGTGGCTCTACAGAATAAGTTAGGAAATATTCCCTCTGCTTCTATCTTCTGAAAGTGGTTGTAGAAAATTGATACAAAGTATTTCTTAAAGGTTTGATGAAATTCACCTATAATCCCATCTGTGCCTGGTGCTTTCTGTTTTAGAAAGTTATTAACTAGTGATTCAATTTCTTTAAAAGACATAAGTCTATTCTGATTGTTTGTTTCTTATATGAGTTTTTGAAAAATGTGTCTTTCAATAAATTGATCCATTTTATCTAGAATATCAAATT